GCGTTTATAGTTATTTATTTATATGAACATATATGTATATTACCAAAAGGAGGGTTTTGTCGAAAGTTTAATAATTTAATGATTGAATTTATGAGTTAATTAAAGCAAGACTACCATGGAAAATCTGGAAGTATTGAACGGTCATCTCATCCTAGTATGGGACTACTCAACAGTGAGTATCCACGATTCTGCTCGCGGGATTCGAACCCAGGACTTATAGTTCTCATATATGAACGCTTAATCTCTGGACCAATGAGTTGGCCGGCATCCAATGTTATTAATATCAACTAATCCATGTATATGTGAATGTATGGTTCTTCTTCGCTGCCATTAAGCATTAATAAACTTGAGATTATTTATAAAATAAAACAAATTACGTAATACTATTGACTTTCTATCAATATTCTGTATTTTTATTTATGTGAAATAAAATAAATTAGATTCACCTGGTATTGTTTACTTTAATTATCCCATTGATGTTTAGGGCTATCATTGATTAGTCTCTTGTTGTATATGTGAATCCTATGAGAACTGCCTCGAGGTTATCTTAAGTAACAAACTTTATAAGCAAAGATGGATAGTGGCTAGCAGTGGAATCAATGAAGCACATTTCATCCTATTTGCGACTCGTCAGTTAGATGTGCATTCACCTCAGAGTTGATATTAACTCCGGGTACATCCAGCTGACGGGTTCCAAATAAAACGAAACGGGCATTCTGGATTCTACTGCTAGTCATCATCCATCTTTGCTTATAAAATAGATTGGGTTCTGAATGTTCTAATAATCAATGCATAATTAAGTATTATATCTGGGAGTTGAGATTTGGGTTTGGATTTTATAATACGATAAATTACAAACAATAATACTTCAAAGTATACGATCCATGAGCTAAAAAGGGACAGAAAACTTGGGACTGTCACAGTAACTTTGTATACTGAAAAGAAGTCTAATTTGAAATGTACCAACTCTACATGTGATGCAATAAAACATAATCTTTCAATATTTAGTAAACTCGCAATAAACTAAACGCAATAACAATCGATCATAGAATAGCCCTCAAATGCCCTGGTACGGCCGAGGGTGAGGAGAGTCCGCTCTCCATCAAGAAATACTCTCACATGGCCACGCGTATATAGCCTCTACCAGGGAAGTCCTACTCACTGCCTTCTCATAGCGGAGGTGTTGTTTACAAAATTGAGAGGACGACAAGCGAACGTCCGGCGCTTTAACCAGTTGGTGGACATAGAGAGTCCACCTAGGGGAGTTGTAAAATCCTGATTCCAAATCAATGGTACACATGGGCTCCAGTATCCTGAAGGAAAAAACGGTGTATGAACCTACTGTTGGTCATTGGCTACCACTGGACTACATCTCCTTACGTTGCTCCACTACTTTGTGGATCAGACCTTCACGTCGAAGGCTCCGGATGTGGCCCCCTACGAAGGCCACCTTCTTCGGTTTGGGCACCCGGACAGTATCACAGCCCCCACACATATCAAATGAGATCTGTGTAGCGCATATGTATTTGGTGCCTCCTTGTACCAATATCTATGTGTTAAAATAAAATAAAATAATCATAGAATAGCAATGGTTGTATGGAAAAGAATATCATAAGATTATCGTTATGGAAAGAAATTTACATTTATGAACAAAATTAGACAACCTTAACTCAGTTTGTCATTCATGTAAACAAGATTTTGTTATGACAAAAAGATTTGAACTCTTCATTAACTTGTTGTCTAGAGTATATTTACTATGAAGCTCGTTAGTACTTGCAAAGTAGTGCATGGAGGACAGCTGACAGATGCATTCCAAGTAAGGACTGGAGTCAGACAAGGCTGTTTACTCTCTCCCTTCCTCTTTCTTCTGGTGGTCGACTGGATTATGAAGACCTCAACATCTGAAGGAAAACACGGAATACAATGGACAGCTCAGAACCAATTAGACGATTTGGACTTCGCAGACGACCTAGCCCTCCTATCACGTACACACGAACAGATGCAGATGAAGACAGCCAGTGTAGCAGCAGTCTCTGCATCAGCAGGCCTCAGCATACACAAGGGGAAAACCAAGGTCCTCAAATTCAAGGCGGAGAACAGCAATCCAATCACTCTTGATGGCGAAACTCTGGAAGATGTAGAGTCCTTCACATACCTAGGAAGCATCATCGATGAACAAGGAGGTTCAGATGCAGACGTAAAAGCGAGGATCGGCAAAGCAAGGGTCGCATTCCTACAATTGAAGAACATATGGAACTCAAAACAACTGTCTGTCAACCAATATCAAAGTGAGAATCTTCAATACGAACGTCAAGGCAGTCCTACTGTACGGAGCTGAAACTTGGAGAACTACAACAACCACAATCAAGAAAGTACAAGTATTTATAAATAGCTGTCTTCGCAAGATACTCAACATCCATTGGCCGGATACCATCAGCGATAGCCTACTGTGGGAGAGAACAAACCAACTTCCAGCTGAAGAGGAAATTAGGAAAAGACGATGGAAATGGATAGGACATACATTACGCAAATCGTCAAACTGCATCACGAGGCAAGCCCTAACTTGGAATCCTGAAGGGAAGCGGAAAAGAGGAAGGCCAAAGAACACATTGCGTCGGATAATAGAAGCAGATATGAAAACGATGAATTACAACTGGACGGAGCTGGAAAGGATTGCCCAGGACAGGGTTGGATGGAGAATGCTGGTGAGTGGCCTATGCTCCTTCACGAGGAGTAACAGGCGTAAGTAAGTAAGTAAGTCGTTAGTACTAATATTTATGCACAGACTAGTGTCAGATTCTGTTATTATTCTAATAATAGTTTTATCAGATGAAATACAATTGAATTCAAAGCTTCCGGATGTTAAAATTGTTCAACATTCAATAGACTTTTGACAGAAGCTACCGAAGATCTTGACATCAATATGCATATTAATTCAAAGATATATGTGTATATATATTTATATTTATTAGTCTCATGAAGAGAGCGAATCATCAAACACTAGTGTTTCTAATGATTTTACCTATCCAGTTAGTCCTCACATTTTTAATATAGTCGTTATAAATACCCGATCTAGAAATATTAAAAATTATTGACACATATAGTTTTTAAACGAATGCTTCAGTTTTAGTTACGTTGAATGTTTGATACCAGGAGTTTGGAGAGTAATTGATACCAGAATGAGGAATCTTTTTAGATCCTGATTTCTACTGTAACATATATCCATAACTCATCACTTTAAACAGTAGATTGTTTCTCACTAACAGTTACTTGCTTAGTGTATATAACAGAGGGGTCATTTAAAAAAATATATTTTCATACTATTGAAAATTCGGGTTTGAAATTACTACGTATTATAACTTTATACTAATTAAATTAAATATTTAAGAACAGCATCCCTACAGTTGAAGAGCATATGGAACTCAAAATAACTGTCTGTCAACCAATATCAATGTCATAATCTTCAATACGAACGTCAAGACAGTCAGTTCTATTGTACGGAGCTGAAACTTCGAGAACTATTACAATTATCATCATGAAGGTACAAGTATTTATAAACAAATATTTAAACAGGGTACTCAATGTCCGTTGATCGGATATTATCAGTAACAGCCAAATATGGGAGAGAATGTACGGACTTCCAGCTGAAGAGGAAATTAGTAAAAAGACTTTGCAGGTGAATAGGACATACATTTCAGAAATCACCAGACTAGAATACTAAATTGAAAAGAAAAGAGAAAGACCGAAGAACACATTAACTCAGTAATTGAAAACAGACATGAAAAGAATGAATAGTAACTGGCAAGTCAGTCAGTCAGTCAGTCAGCTACAACGTAGGACCAGGCACATATATGCATCGGTCCAAGTTGCCAAACCTCATTAACACAACAACATAAACACCGGATTCATAAAAGTAGTTAATTCAGAGGTGGTAATATATAGAAGAAAGATTGCATATAAGGATATAGTACAGGAAGAAAGAATTAGTTCGTAGAAAGAAAAATATGAAGCGATTTTAATCTCTTAGTTTAAGGGAAAACAGAGTGTATACACCGACGCTATTGTGATCGATTCTGAGCCATGTCACCAAGAGTCTCCAACCATTGGTTACGATGGTCACGCGGACCCCAACCAAGTAGTCTGCATCTACCAACATGGCTCAGACTAGAAGTTAGTGACTTCAAGCACTGATGCCACGTTTTGGTTTGGTCGCCCCTAACTTTCTTCCAACCATCTCCAACACCGGTTAGCATTGCACGTCGTGGTAATCGGTGTTCATGCATACGTAACTGGCAAGTACCGGATGAAGAATTCTGTTGAATGCCTTATACTCATTCATGAGAGATCATAGGCATAAATAAGTAAATTAAACATCTAAACTAAAAAGATACTACATATTCATCTTTACTTTTTAATAAAAAAATATTTTCATGATAATTTTCTTCATAATCAACTTGACAACACTTTTTACCGTTTGATCGAGAGACAGACATATAAAAACAAAGAAGTAGAATATACATATATATATATGTCTGTATATCTATCATATATAAATAGATGAATATAAATCTCATTCCTACTGTATACAAATGGATTCTCCGTTTGTTTGAAAGAAAAAATAAACCGTTTCAATTTCAATTTTACAATTTTCTATTCTGTCAATTTCATTCATTTTTTTTAACCCATAGTAACTGGATGATAATCGTTTAAGCCTATGAACATACATGTATAATACACTAACTATTTTCATAATCATGATAATAATACAAAGTAGTTCAATTCAATTTACATTTTCAATATAACAATTAAAGCATATTCAATATAAATTTTAATAAGAAGAATTATGTTTATTTATTTGTTTGTTTGTTGATTGATTAAAACAATCAAAATTGTAACTATGCTATGAATTATATAAGTGTGATTGACGAAGACATCCAAATTAAACATTGAATACATATATACATATATATATATATATATATATACTACTAAGAATCATAATGTATGGAGCAACAACAGGTTCTAAGAAAGGAAAAAGTAAGTCATATCTTATGAATATATTTTCTTTATTATTATTTTAATAGTTGAAATCATAAGTTATTTGAAGCTAGATTACTAGGGAAAACCTGCAAGCACTAGACAGCCGTTTTGTCTTAGTATGAGACTCCTTAGCAGTGAGCATCCACGATCCCGGCCCCCACGAGGTTGAAACTCAGGACTTATCAGTCTGTTGCGCGAGCGCTTAACCAATAAACAACCACTGGGGTTGGCCGATATCAAACGGTGTTAATGTCTAATTTCAACCAATCCGCTAAGTTACGCCACCGTCCATCATAGTCTTCAGTGAGCTGATTAGGTTTATAGAGAAAGTAATTAATGATTATCACTAAAAACCAAGAAGCAATTGATAATTGTTCCGTTATAATATAAGACTTCCCTTTGGTACATAATCACAACTTCATTATAATGAGGGGGGGGGTCAGTCGAATGTTTAACATCTGGATCATTGACGTAGTATCAAATAGTACATTAGTACATTAATTTACCTTGAATCAATTTATGATATTACTCAACCACTTATCATTACTTGTGGTGGATAATTGTCTCATATGTGACATGACTGAACTCTACTGATCTCTGTTTAAAGATGTTTTTATTATAAGTTTGGATTGGATAATTTACCTTAAAATATTAAATATATGAATTCATGATATTAAATAAAATAAATTAACCTACGTTAGACTGAATGATCGTATCATTGGTGAAATTTGTAAGCAAGTGTCATGTGTCTTACATTATATTTTATGAGGATGTTAGATCCATAGAACTGACTTGTAAGTACCTTATTTTTGTAATTTTATTTTGAGGATTTGAATTTCTTGTTTTCTCGCCAGAAGCGCTCATTTTCACATTCATGTGGTATTTCCCACTTAAGAAGATCTTAAACACTATTGGTTTGTTGTATCATTTAGTATGCCATGTTGTCACATTTTCCAAGGACAATTTTATTCTGTATATATACGTTTGATTTGTGCCTGTTGTTATTGCTCATGCTTCTGGCTGTTTGCGGAATATATTTCCCAATTCAAACTTGGACTACTTTCTCTAGTTAGCAGGACTGGGACGAGTCAGAATAACTAGTTTTCTGTCATTGTGTCACAGAATCTTCGTTCCCTCCTCAAATTAGATGAATTCGTAATCGCTTCAAACATAGCATAATTATATACACAATTCATTCATGACCGTTATGTTCTCATAGAAAAGAGAATATATGAAACAGACAATAGTATATTTCAATTTATATTCATCTGTAGCCACATTAAGAATGATAAAACATATTTAGACTTAAATTTAATTCACAGTAAAAATTAAAAAAATCTTAAAACTCGAGAGGATTTACTTATTAATATAAGTTTCAATGATCTCATTCAGATAAATGAATAAAGTTGGAAGTGAAAAATCACAGCCAATCATAGCGTCTAAATCCCATTGAACAATGAATAGTCTAACACGATCGACTTCACTGTATGAGCTCAAAGTAAACCTTTTTATGACAATAATTAAACGGCTCAGTGGTCTAGAAGTTAATCGTTCGCGTGCGAGACTGAGGGACCTAAGTTGGAATCCCTCGAGCGGCATCGTGGATGGACATTGCTGAGGAGTCCCACAATGGGACGAAACGGCTGTTCAGTGCTGCCAGGTTTGCAATAGTGGTTTAACACCAGTCCGTTCATGATCTCAGTCATAAACCTAATGAACTCCACAACCATATACTGATAATAATTAAACATGTACAGTAACATAAACGAGAATTAAATATAAATTTTGAACTTTAAGTAAACTGTGACCTGTATTTAAACTTATTATAACTGTGCATTACTTCTGTTATTATATTTGTTTAATCTAAAATGTTTATCGATTGTAACATCAGTATAGGAAACATGTAAAATTTTGAGCTGTATGAAATAGATACATTTTGTTGTTGTTAAATAAATCAAAGTGTATAATATTCACTGGTTAAAATCATGACTCAACTGAAGCTAAACCACCATGGAAAACCTGGAAGCACTGGACGGCCATTTTGTTCTAGTATGGGACTCCTCAACAGTGTGCATCCACGATTCCGCACCCCACGAGCTTCGAACCCAGGACTTATCAGTCTCGCGCCAGGCGCTTAACCAAAAAAACTCCTTCTGATATATGATATTCATTATGATATATCGTATTACCTATTCGAAAAGGTTACATCACATATTTCGTTCAAGATATATATAACGATGAAAGTCAGTTTTTAATTCCAATAGTTATCATTGAAAGCTTATTCATATCACTCAAAAGTATCTGTTTGTTAATGAAAAAAACCTTCGTGAGTTGGTTGAAGTTAGACAATAACACTGTTGGATGCCGGCCAGCTCAGTGGTCTAGGGGTTAAGCGTTCACACTCGAGACCAATAGATCCTGGGTTCGAATCTAGTTGGGCGGAATCGTCGATATGCACTTCTGAAAATTCTCAACCAAGATGAAATGGCCGTCTAATACTTCCAGATTTTCCTTGATGGTCTAGCTTATATTGGCTCCAATAGTTATCATTAAGAGTATATTCATATCACTCTAATTTATTTGATTGCTATTAGAAACAAATATGACTTTATTCATCGTCATTCATTATGATAGACATAATGGATTCATGTTGTTGAGAAAAAACCACCGCATCTATTGTAAAATTGTAGTTTGTATGTCAGGCATTTGCAAAATTACATAATACATTAAAAAGAAATATCATGATAATTCATTATGTTAATATAAAAATGGCTAATGGTTCATAAGAATATTGGTTTATATTGAAAACAATATGTACACATTATTGTTATATTGACATACTGTATGTCATAGCTATAAACAATGTTAATAATTGAATTCTACCTAAAAAACAGTTTTACTATAAAATGAATAGAATCTATTTAGTAAATACTGAAATTTCGGTGATGTACGCTGTATTTGTGGCCTTGAATCTGAATCCAATTAGATGGTACGAATGATTGTTACTGATAATATACATATAATCGATCCTCGTCTATAATCACCGACTTAATGCGCGTTGTTGAATAACGGAATTAAATAAGTCAAATACAAGAATGGATGTTTGAATACCTGTATTTTGTACAATCATTGATCTGAATAGACAATCAGAGGGACGAAGTGAATAGAAGAGAGTGGAACGAAATGATACACAGTGGAGAAGGCATGTAAACCAATTCAATTTAATCAAGGGTTAATCGATATTTATAGTCACACATAAAGAATTTGCAGATATATGATGAGTAAGATAAGAAATACATACATATGAGCCTACATAAAATCAGTCAAGGTTTACAAGCAAATAATTAACAACTCCATAACCCTTGATTAGAATAGATAAACTGGCTTTTCTGGAGGCTAGAATAAGCTTTATGAACTTGTCTAACACTACACTATTACATCCGAAGAATAATAGTAATATACATGTGTTTAAAATTGTACTTTTTAAGTCATGAAATTATTAATGACATTTGGGGTATAGTAACTCACTTACTCATTAGAACTGTTCTTAAAAAGGTTTACCTCATCGCGTAAGAAATGTATTAAGAATAAAGCGAAAAATGTTTAATTAAACAATAATAAAAATACTGACTTGAGGGGGATTATGGATTTATTAATGATTATACCAAAACAATTCCTGATCATTAATTCACTATATACTTGCATTATTTCAGTCTTCTTCATATATATGCATGAGTAAGGAGGCAGACTAGAAGTGACTGACAGCCACTTGTAAACTGTTAACTTATCAAAGCGGCTAATAATCTGTGATTGAAACTAGGAGAAAATGTAACTTGTAATTTATCTGCTTAGCGATGTGCTATGCTATGAGATACAGAGTATTAATTAGGATAAGGCTAATTTTCTTTTATATCACAATAAATGATAGATAGAATAAATTATTGACAAATCTGTAATAATTGTAATAGTTGAGATCATGAGTCAATTGAAGTTAGATCTCCATGGAAAACTTAGAAAAACTGGACGGCCGTTTTGTCCTGTTGTGGGACTCCTCAGCGATGTGCATCTACGATCCTTTCTCGTGAGATTTGAATCTGTAATAGTGAACTAACTCAAAAGTTTGATTAAAGATAAAATATGTAATCTATATTGGAAAATGTAAACACATATGTAATGAATCTGTCAAAGCAATGGTATTTGAAGAACATTGAATTTTCGTTGAAAAATTGTTCACATTAGAATAGTATGCTGCTAACTAGATGAAAACTTGATTGTGAATGAAAGCAGATAACTGGAATTCATATTTTATGATCAGTTCGAGTTAACGAGATCACATATTGAACACTTACATAAGAACCAATTATATGCCAATCGTTTCAAATGAATTCATGGAAAAGTCTGACAAAGAACTATTCAGAATTCTAGAAACATAAGTTTTAATTAAATATAAATAACTTATAGAAATTAGTCACAGATTCGTTCCAGTCAACCTTTAATTTTTGCACCAAGGTTTTAAAAGTAGTCGATAACCGACATTCACTTGTTTTTACTGCGAAAAGCGATAAGCTTTGGATAATTTAAAAACTACACTACTTTAATAGAGCCTATCATGTTATTAAGTTTCAAACTTAATTTTACTTTGAAAGTTCTACAGTACCTTAATAGAAAACGTTCCACTTAAAACTGTAATAATTCGTGTCCAGCTTATTGACAATCAAAATACTTATACCATAACCCATAATAAAACTCAATGAACACGTATTCTATGAGAAGAGAAAGGTTACACTGATAATATCAACTATTTGATTAATTTATTTCATTTTGCCGAACTTATCTACTTAGTAAAGCCTGTATTGAACTGGAACTAGATGTGACATCTGAATTGGTTAAATTTGGGATCCTTAATTAAAATATCTGTAAAATTAATCTATCATTACTTATCAGTATTGGGTTGTGAAGATTATTAAGTTTTTGGTTGAAATCATGAACCGATTAAT